TAGGTTAGGATTTCTCGTAACGCGATTTGGTACCAACGATCAGTAAATCTTAAATTTGGATAATGTATGGATTATAGACCAAGTGAGTAATAAGTTACTACAATGCCTGTATTAATCACTTAGTCTATTGCATATATACGTGTATTATATCATTTTTAGCTAGCAGTTAAAGGATTATGGAAAATTGTATAAATAATCGGTACAGTCTGTACCAGTATGCTAAAGTTGAGTACCTATTATCGATAGTACGTGTACATTCGATTTTGTATTTTTAAATGGAATATGAAAATAAGAAATGCAGGTTCGATACGTTCCAACAAAATTCCGTGCTGTCTACGTAGTGCAAGTGTAAGTATCTACATGCACGATCAATAATCTCTTGGGAACATCCGTTCCCCTGCTGGCCTATCCAGCTGGCCACCCCTGCAATAATGGTAACACCAGCAGCACCAACAGTACCAGCACCGACAGTAGTAGTAGCACCTGCTACCCTCCCCGTGCCCCGTCAGGTTGTGACTCATGACCACTTTCCGTTTTACCACCATCTATCATTATTAATTGTTAAAATGCTTTCATGACTCTTTGTCATTTTTATTTTTATTTTTATTTTTTTATTTTCTTTTCGTTATTTATCTCCTTTTTGCCTTTTATTTAAATTTTCACAGGAGGATATATTACACACGCGTGTAAAAGGTGTATTTAATATGTTTATGGAAATTTGTATTGTAAGGTAATTATCAAGCTATACGATAGTTAAATGTACGTATGTGGAAATGACGTACAGTTAAATATGTATAAGAAAAATACTTATTTTCAGTAAACGAAACATTTATTATATAAATAAATAAACTAATTAGCTTTCTTTAAATTAAATTAATTCTGAAGTAAATAGCAAGTATATATGCAGTTTCGTGGAAAGAACTGCTGTAATAGCTAATCCACTTTGCTTTAGAAATGAAAATTGCAAGACTTCTATCTTTATCTTTCTAATGTAGTTTATGTTTAATATGCATATATAAATGCATATATAAATATATTTGGTTTAATATATAGAAAAGTTAATAATATAAACAGAAGTGAAACATTATTAGAATTTAATGAAAAATTAATTTGCGAAGTTGTTAAAGACGTACCAGGGATATTTTTAACCATACTTCGTAAATTGTTTGTTATAAAGTTATAGAATAGAATCAAATAACCATGTACTTTATGATTAAATGAAAAGATATAAAAGGAGAAAAATAGAGTTTAGTTGATATCGATGAAAATAATGATTAATTTACATATATTTATTCCATGATTATGTCTTTTAACATAATTCAATTTTCAAAACATATATTGTCCTCTCAAATAAATAAATAAATAAATAGTTTTATAGACTACGCCAAGTATAACACATTACTAAGTGACTAATAGTAGGTATACAGGTATACAATATCGTTTCTACAATTATTAATATTTCTAACCTTGAGAATAGAATTTCCTTTTATTATTACGCAGTAATTTTTTATTAAATACTATTATTACTTTAATGCACCGAACCAACAAACGAATTTAAACGAATTTAAAGAAATATAATACATAGATAAAAAAAAAGACATGTACAAAGGAAAAAGAAAAAAAGACTGAATAAAAAATGCAAAAAAATTAATGTAAATTGTAATTAAATTTCATTTGCAATTCTGCAAATAATTTATATAGTTCGTGATTTTTTTTAAATTTATTTTTTACGATTATAAATATCAAGGTTATTAAAATTATAAATAAACATGGAATATTTCGGAAATGAATATATCATTAGAAAATACGAATTAATAGCCTGCCATATTTCTTTGTTTCTTCCGAATAAAGAATTAACACATAAATCATAGTACATAATATAAAATAAGTATTGCAAGAATAGTTCTTAAATTATTTTATTATGTAAACACATAATACGATAGTATTATATTATTATTGTTGTGGCTGTGATACATACGTACATAAAGTACATATACAGAATTTATAATAATATAAATAAAAAAAGGAAATGATTGGAATAATTAAAATGAAATTGTTGGAGAAAAGAACAGAAATATTAATATATCGATTGAAATAAATCAAATAAAACGAGAAAATATTTAAAGTTTGAAGAGGACATGTAATACTATCAAGAACCTATTAAATGAGTGAAATAAAGGAAATTACTTAGGAAAATAGTATTTGCTAAAAAAGTGTAGATCGACTCAAGATCGATAGATTTTAACATATCCCCTTAGGAAATGTTTATAGGTCACCACATGAAAGATGATGTGGACGTATTTCAATGGTTAACTTAAAAAAGCAGATACTACCTGGCGAAGTTATAAATATAGACGCGAATGTGAGTATAGATTCCAAGAGAATGATGGTGCTTTTATAAAATATTCAAGGGAATTGATTCCAACTACCACAACAGCAATAGCAACGATAGTAAAGGTAATAGTTATATCAACGACTCAGCGAATGTTTTAATAGTAAAACAAATATGAATTTTTTCCAAAACTCCGAAAAATTATTAAATTGCGAAAAATATTTAATATAGCGAGAAAAATTGTTGCGAATACTATCGCTACTATCGATATTATGATTAATTATAAGCTACAAATATGAATTGTTACAATTGAACTCTAGAGAAATTTTCATTTGGATAATAAATTTTTAATCTAAAATGATTGAATAAAACACAACTGCAATAGTATCGTTTTACTTTTAACGATATTCGAATTTAAATTTTTCATTTACTTTATTAAACATGTTTTTGTACTAAAATATTATAGAAATTCGATCATTCGTAAATTATAATTAATTTAATACTTACCCAAATAATTATTCCACATCAATTCATTAGAAAGGATGTCCCGTTTATATGTATATTCAATTCAAAAGCATAATAGGAAAAACGAGAAAATCCACGACGTTAATTGACAACAATTTATGTTAATTAAAGTTACTTGAAATTAATTGAATGATATTTTATACACTTGTTTAAATAATACTAAACTTCAGTTCTAAAGAAAAATTTACATCGTTAACTTTATTCATTGGTTTTAATTAATACTATATTTACTTAATAAACATTCGTTATAATTTTATAACCGATTCAAAAAATTTACTAAATCATTCGAATTAAAACCAATGCTATGTTTGAAAGTGCTATTACAATTTACAGTATATCCACCAGCAACCACTGGCACCATACTATCGCCATCTTCTTATTCAGGTGAACGGTATCATTGTACCACTATACAGGTGCGCATAAATACTTTACATTTATATATAGATACACATTCATCAAAGTTATTGATTGTACTTAAAATTTACTTTTAAAGATATAATACATATACTAAATATATATACATAATTTTCATAATAGTACTTGAACAGTTCAATTTAAAAAGTATAAATATCCATCCTTTAGAAATACTTGTATATCATTACTATTTTCTTGTAATTTAAATGAAAAAAATTATAGAATTATAATATTATCTTCTGATCATATCTCGATAACACCTCGTATTCTTAATGATTACCGTTATATTTTTATATTCTTATTTATAACGAAGTAATTTAAAGATTATTTAAATGCACGAAATTTGTATTAATTATGTATAAATAGAAAGAAATCATTGAAAATTTGAATCAACTTATTTATTAGAATTTTTTATCATTCATTAAATCGTATTTGAATAAGTAAATGTGACTGTCTTATATTGCCTTTTCGATATAGTTAGCATCTATGTCAACATGTAGCATTTTATTCAAATATGAAAAAATAAAATATTTATCGGTTAAACTATTGTTATCTTAATCTATTGTAAAATTGAAAATTTCTCAGAGACACATGTTCTTGCAAACTGTTTTTTGTGAAATTTACAGAGGTAAAACAATTTTGGAAAATCACATTATTGCATATGCATGCATGACATATGCACGTGTGTAATGCATATTAAATACATAATTATATTTCTTTATACTATTTATTTTATACATTATTTACTGTATGTGTGTTTTATTTATTCATTCACACATACATTTAATTCAACAGAGGAACTATTTCATAGAAATTAAATCAATTTCTGTTAAACACGTTAGCTTCGTCATTCTTTTGGACTAAAAAGTCTGTTTTTTTCACTATCACTAGAAAGATAAAAAAGAAGATAAGTTTGTTATAACATTATTTCAATCTATGCTAATATAATATCCCTTTCAAAACACTAAAACAAAAAAATAGAACTATTTTTCATACTTATTTTTAATAAATTGAAATGTATATTGGCAGATAAAAGAAATAAGAGAAATATTATATTCGTATTACAACATTATGGAAATAATTTTTTTTCTTATAATCCCCGTGATTAAAAGATACATTGAAACAATGTAAATACTAAATTTTTAACTTATTCCTTCTTCACGTATTCCAACAAGAATAATTATATTCTTTTATCTTCTCCTTTCTTTATTCTGAATGGATTGAATCAATCATATCATGAAGTAACAAAAATTTAAAACATCGCATATACTTTAGTATATTGCATTCAGTGTCGTTACATATTATTGAAATTTTCAGCTATTGAAGAGATTTAATGTCGTTATTATTACAAATTATCGTTCAAATGATTACGATAATAAAAATATAAAACAAATAGCATTTTTACAGTTTCATAAACGTGTTTCATTGAAACCATATTATAATTTCAATGAAAAAGCTGATTTAGAATTCTTCTTCTATACACTATTTAATAAATGTCAACTTGTTATTAGAACACTTCTAATCACTATGTATATAAGAACTTTATGACACGATAATATGATTCTACACAAAATGATTTATTATCGACAATGATCGACGTTGATTAATTTTACTACCTACACTAAATCGAAGTGCAAATAACCTACTCATTTACATTAATTAATCAAATTTAAGATTTGAAAAATTATAGAAATTAAGGTACAAATGTGTATTATCTTATATTTTGGACTTAATGTCGATTAGTGGTAAAAGGCGTCAATCCCCTGAGAACCATGTTATCGAGAACACTGCTTATATAAGCTGAAACATCAACGGTATCTTCCTCTGCTTTTCTAATAAAAGGATGTTCTAGTAATTTGTTGTATTTCGGCCGTTGTGTCTCTTCCTTAATTAAACTGAAACAGTGATAAAGTAAGCAACCAGTAATAAAAAAAATTAAATTTCTGTATAGATTCGTAAATTCACGTTAAATTAATTTACCATGTATTCACAAAATTCACAAAATCCATAGTAAAATGATTCCCATTTTCATTAGGAGATAAGCGTGGTGGATCACCCTGAACTACTTGATAAAGTTGTTCAAAAACTGAATTCCATTTTGGATATGGAAAATAACCAGTTGCAATTTCCATTAACGTAATTCCTAATGACCATACATCACTTCTAACGTCATAACCCTTTGCACGTTGAGGATCTATCCTCTCTGGCTGAAAAATTATAATAAATTACAATGTTTCTAATTACATGCAAATTTTGTTAAATATTTTTTATTCATATCAATAATACACATACAGCCATATATGGTCTACATCCAGCATCTCGAGTACGTGCAATAGAATCTACCAATTGTCCTGATATACCAAAATCGCAAAGTTTTATATTACCATGTCGATCTAATAGAATATTACTAGGTTTTACATCTCTATGAATTATTCTTAATTTTTCCTTGAGGTAATTCAATGCCTTTACTGTGGCAACAGTAATTTTTCCTAAAATACGTTCTGGTATTCTTTCCTTTAATACCTCATGAATAAACTTATAAAATATATCTAATGAAGTGTCCATGAGCTCCATACAAATCCAACAGTCACCCTAATCAAAATATAATACTTATCATTAATTAAAAAAGATTAATATTAAAAGATCTGTTGCAAACTTACTTCTTTGAATAAAGCTCCATAAAATTGCACAATGCACGGACATTCATTAGATTTCATTACGACTTCTAAATCCATTAGTAGTTGTTTTTGCTCTCTTTCATCAACTGTAGAACGAATTCTCTATAATTAAATATGAGATCGTGAACTTCATAAATTATTTAAATAATAAAATTCAATTACTTACCTTCACAGCCATAACGGTATCACTTATCCTATGAATCATTTTATTTACAGTACCAAATCCTCCTCGCCCTATTTCTCCTAAATCTTGAAGATCTTCACTTGTAAAATCATATACTACATTTGGTGATAGCTGTAATTTTCCGGTACTTTGCATTGATTGACACATTCGTAATTTATCCCTATAATTTAATTGGATCATAATGTTATCAAATTAACTACTTACATATTTAACAAATACAAGTACCTTGCTTTATCAGGCAATTCTTGTGGAACTGCAGTACATGGTCTCACCGGTAGCTTGGGCAAAGATAAAGGTAAATTTGGACGAGAAGATCTATAATTATCAAACAAAAAAATAATTATTTATAACATATAATTTGAATATTTTTATATGATTTATTCAATTACTTACATTGGTAAACAAGCTGCAGTTCCAGTTGAATTAGAAAGAGAAGAGTTTGTTGAATTGTTAACTGACATATTACTTCCCTGTGTTTGAAAATTAAGTTTGAATTGTCTTCTTTTCTCTATTATAAAACAAATATAAATATTATTACACTATTATGAAAGGTATACATATAAATGTATTTAAGCACACGTATATGTATATGTATTCATATATATATTCAATAATATATTGCAATATTATCCTTCGTATAGAAGTATAAATAATGTACCTGACATTTCATTTTGAACATCATTAATAGATCCAAAATCCAAATGTTGGAAATTAAATGGTCTGCTAGAACCTACATATTAATGATACAATTAAATATACTAATGTCATTGAATAGATAATTTAATATATATACATATGTATATATACAATAAAATGATTATTTTGTATCAATGATGAGTTAACGTTTAGGTTATGAAGATAAAATCCTTCATGTACTTATCATTAAACGTCATATTGCTATATAACTTACTTTGATTAGTTGGAGTTGAAAAATTCCCCCGATTCTCTGTCATTTTTTAATATCCTTAATAGCTGACTACCAGAAGACAAATCTTTTATTAAAGGCACTCCTTTTAGGAGACCTTTCCGCAAGATTTTAACAATCTAGCATACGTATTCTGCAGCGAGTGCACCATTTGTGCAATTTCGTTCCTTTTCGAACAATATGTAGAAAAATCTTACTTTTTCTTTTTCCGAAGCACTTGATTTTAATTGTAATTTAACTTTCTTTCTATTACAAAAATACACCTTGCCATAAGCTTATCACAATTATTTATTTATTTGACAACGATGACATACATACCATTCAATATAATATATGGATGAAAAAAAAAGATAATGCTAAGTTTACATTAATCTATACCAGAACTTTTTTTAATAAAAAATTCTCGAGTTGAATTGCTTCTGGTTGTTCATTTATTTTCGTTTTATATACATGTTTCTGGGAGTCTGGAGACTCTATGAAGAAATTCACGAACTGTTATAGTTCTGTACCTTAATCATTGTAGGCGCTAGTAGCAACTTTGTCAAGAAAATTACTCTTTTGTAATATCATATTCCATGGACATACAATATTTACAAATCATGTAGCATCGTTTGCTAATTTCTCCAGTTGAAGATGTTAAAATAATAAAATTAATTTCAATGGAAATTATATTTTCTAAATTATCTTTAGTAGAATCTAGATTCAATTATATGATTATATGTCACTACATTCATTTTTAAATTACCTTTACACTTTTACAATTAAATATTTTTCTTTAATTTTCTGAACTTCATATAATACCTAATGTATTTCAAATGTACATAAATGTAATTTAACATATTGACATGAATTTAATAATTTAGTATAGTTTAATACATTAAATAATTAATTGTGAGTTTTGTTCATTAATTATCAAAAAGTAAAATATCTAAATTGGATAAAACATCTTGATGTAATAAAATTAAAACAAAAGATTTGAATATTACTTAATACCAATCAATTTATAGAACAGTAAAATGTATGAAAACTGTAAAAACCAAAATATTTGTAAAACGATAAAAATTTTCTAGTTAAGTAAAAAAATATTTAAATTTTGCAATTTAAATATCTCAATTTTATAAATCATTTTTCTTTAATTGTATGCCTTTTATAATATGTATTTTATCTACATCAAATTATTAACAATTATTATTTAAATTATATTATTTATGCATAATTTTGTATATATGACTTCAAATTAATATTTGGATAATCATTAAAATATTTCTGTACTGACATTTTCTTAAATTACTATAATTCATTCATGTGTATTCTCATTTAATTTGCTGTCAAATTACTATACTATGTAAGTTACTACATAAACATTAGCTGAACTTACCAAAACAAACAGAAAAATGTGGTTTGCAAAAACATTCAATTCACTAATATTACCTGATTTAAGGTAATTTTTTTAAATGTTCAATAATATAAGCAGATATTATGTATTAATTTATACTATTTTATTTTATAATGAACAAAAGTTAATGACATAACCTTTTTTGATTGAATATAATTAAATATACTTAGTATGTAAATGAAAATTATTATTCTGTGATATACTAAATAAAATTTTTCATATATGTATTACAAACAGATAATATACAATAATATGTATATAATATTTTTTTTATAGGTACAATTTAGTAAATGAGATTCAATTTTATAGTGTTTTTTCACCAACTTATAAAAAACCAATCTATGGAAAAGAAAACCAAAAAGTATTTTTTGAGAGATACAAAGGAAAAAATATATTGCGTTCAAAAATCAAACCATCAAGTAGTTCTGAGACATGCTCCGAATTTTATGATGCATTAGTTTGGTAAATACTTAAATTTTTAAGTAAAGAAATTTGTCTTTAATTTCAAATTATTGATTATGTATGTTTTATACATCAGCAAATTTACAAATCATATTATGAGGGAAGGTAAGAAACAAATAGCTAAAAAACTAGTAGCAGATACTTTTGAAAATATTAAAATAATGCAACTGCAAAAATATTACAATGCTTCACTTGATAACCAAAAAAATATTATATTGGATCCAAAAAAAATATTACATGAAGCTGTAAATAATTGTTTACCTATTTTACACTTACAAAAAATAATGAAAGTTAAATTTTTTTTTTTTTTTTTTTTTTTTTATGAATAATTCAATAAGTAATTGAAATTAATAATATTTATACATCATATAAGGTTCCTGTACCAGTGGATAAAAACAGAGCTGTATTTTTATCTATGAATTGGCTAATTAAAGCTGCACAAGATAAAGGAAATGCTGAAAAATTTGGCGATGTAATGGCACAGGAACTCATTAATGCTGCGCAAAACAAAGTATATTCATATTCCCTTATTTTATTACTTCTGTTTAAATGTTATAAAATATTAAAAGATTGTTGTGTATATAAACAAAACTTACAAAACATAAAATTATCATTCATTTTTATATTCTATGTTTTAGGGTAAAGCTGTTAAAAAAATGTATGATTTACATAAGCAATGTGAAGCAAATCGAGCCTATGCACATTATAGATGGATATAAATTACAGGTTATCAAAAATAAAATTACTTATTTAAAACAGTGATAGTTTATTTTATTTATTAACATCACCAAAAATTTTGTAAAACATAAGTTTTTCTATAATTTGTCCATATTTTATATACATTTTTAATTTCAAGTTTTTATTACATGATTTAGCATTTAAGGATTCGTATAAATAATTATAAGTGGTTGGATTCTCCGAAAAAGGAGTAATATTATTAACAGTAGTCTTGAAATCTATTCTTTTACCCCAATAATTGATATATGATATTATAATTTCTTGATCTTCTAAATATTTGTCATCGTCTTTATAACATATGGATCCAACTACATTATTACATATATAAGCACTAACATGTAGTGACGAAGTGAGTATTAAACCTAAAATATATAATAAATTTCAGTAATAGATTCTAGTACAAGATGATTAAATCTTATGTAAACTTACCCGCACATACGAAATTCAAATTTTGCTCTGATGATATAAAATCTAAAATTTTTAAACTGATAGATACTGGTATAGTTGCACTTATTAAAATTGTGTAGCTACACTTCAGTTTATTAAAAATCCTTGCATGTACAATATAAGGAAACAAATAGATTACTTTATAACCTTGAAATTTTATTGATTTGATTGTTGATGATGTATTATTAGATTTCTCAATATTTGATACACAATTATATCGTTTAGTTATATCATTGATGTTATTATAAACACTGTATCTTAATTGTTTACAAAACCGTATCATAAGTAAATTCATAGTGAGTTATATTTATATTTTTCTTATATTATATTATTTTCTTTATTACTTTCTATTCTATATTGTATTCTTTATTCTTTATATTATTTTTTGTATTATATATATATATATATATATATATATTTTTTCTTTACTGCAATATAAATTCAAAGATGTTGAAATTACTTTCTCTCTTATTTAAATATGCACTTGCATATATATATTAGAACATACTTAGATGTCACTCCAAGTTATACAAAATTGTCAATTCAGAAATCAGCACCTCTAGTGAGAATGTAAATTATCATTTTATGTGCATCCATACATTAGCATTTACAACCATGTTAAATTTTTCCAAAACAAATACTATTCTCATGATGAAGCAATATATATGATATATGTTTCATAAAAGTAAGTATAGTTAATAAAAGCGTTAGCGAAATTATATCGATCAGATGTTATGTTTCATGAGATAGAAATTAGTAATCTTACTTTATGAATTATGTGATGTTAACTCAAGATTGTTTTGATTTAAGTTAAAAATTAAGTTTTAAAATATGTAATTTGTTATTTTTCAAACAATTTAAATTACACACATACTATACAAAAATTTGTTAAATTAATTCATAAACGACTTGTAGTCTGAAATTTAGGTATGCGTGTTCGCCAATAATTTTTTATTTTCATTTCATTTTGAATAATTCAAATAATACAAATTGCACTATTAGTGTAATTTTTTTTTAATATGTCATGCATATATCATTTAACAAATAAAACTATCTACTCTATTTTTCTACATGTAACAAATATTTTATTGTTTCATACATATACATGTCACAATTCATCAATACTACAAATTCTTCAAAATGAAGAATACTACATCATTCTTCTTCAAATACGCTTTATCTCATCATCTCTATTTATGTTTTCAATTATGTTTCAAATTTTCACAATTTAAATATAATATTAGCAGTACAATTGATTCAGCATGTTAATGTCGAATTACTTTTAAGTTTGGAATACAAAATTTAATTAATGGTAATTTGTTCTTATTTTATATAAAGACACAAGGTTTCGATTAAGACCCTCTCACACATTGTTCCAATAACTAAAGCAAAGCCAAACAATTAAATAAATATTGTATTATAGTACATTTGATTTCAATACTTAAGTCTACTAATATTCTAAATAAGATGAACCATTAACAAAAGTCTTTGTATAATCTGTAATTCTTAGTCATTTCATTGTATATTACTATAATGATTTTTGTTTTACAAATTGCATGTATTACTTCATTTAAAAATAATTCTATCTTGTGTAATAACTAAATAGTCACATGGTATGCAATAAAATACATAGAATAACATATGCATGCAAAAACAATAATTAACAATTATCTGTCAATTGTCATAATGCAAGTGAGTATTTTTAGTGATTTTGAATTTTTCTCTTTTTCTATTCCTTCAGTCTTGACTCTAAAGTAAATAAAATCTATATTTCATTATTATACACATTATTGTATCTTTTGTTATCGTACACATATGCACAAATTTTTTTATTTGCCATATGTATACTTTTATCCATTATGACCAAGAATAGTCAGTTTTTCTTTTAGAATTTTTTTACTCCTAGTTACTATTAATGTATTAATGACATTGTCCAAAATAATTAATATTTTAATTCCTTTAAAAGCCATTTCCTCTATTATTTGTTAATGTACTGCTGAATATATTATTTTGTCAATATAGCAATATACATAAAAATCCATACTATGCTTCACAAGTTCAAATACAAAATATATTTTCAATATCTTCACATCCTCCTTGAATGAGATGATTGGAAATACTTGTAATTCATTCTTTTCTTTTTGTCTATATTTGTTATATATGCAACTGTGCAGTAATATTTTTGCATATAACTTTCATTAGTTTCTAAAATCTACTCACAAACAATACACTTTACCATATAAGTATTATCATTGCATTTCTGGAGCCATTTCTTATTTAAGGATAGGATTTTCAAGTCAGAAATCTTAAAATGTATCCCCTCTTGGCACTTTTTGGAAAGAATGCATATTGCTATTCTATTTATAAAGTACCCATTATCGCATAATTTTTAATATTGTAATATTATATGTTTGAAAAGTTGAAATTTGGCACTTAAAATTGATTATGTCTTATTTAAAAGTAAGTCTTTTCATATTTAAACTAATACAGCAGTACTGAATGCATATTTTAATTAAGTATTTTATGTCACCATTAGAATTTGCAGCTACTCATAATTAATTCATTTTTTATACTATAAAAATTTATCTGTGAAAAGAGCAATAAAAAGGACAGGTATTAAAGCAAGAAGCTATTAAATCTATTTAGTTTATATATTAATATATTTATAATGAAACAAATTATTATTCTTCTAAAACATAGCTGACTTCAAAAGATGATCTTTTTCTATATTATATTGATACAAAAGTATCCAATTTAGATATGTCTTAACTTGCTGGCTATTTAAAATAAAGCACCAAACTCTTGACTTCAATACAATCCAAAAATGTATACTATGCTTTTTATAAATAACAAAGATCACAAAGAATTTTATTATTTCAATATTATTTAATCTCAATATTATTTAATCTCAATAAATAATTAATCTCTTTTTTATAAAAATAAACAAAAATATGAGGTTTAAAAATGTATATTCCATATTTCATAATTTTAAATAATATGCTTATATTAAAGTTTAGAATTATTAATAAATACATAGAATAAAACTAAATTTCTTTATACATAATTCTTTTATTCTGTCAATTCATACTATTATATAATTGATATATTAATGTTAGTAATTATGTACATTATGTACATTTTTTACATTATCTATTATAAACCACAAAACAATAATAATAAATTTATTAATTCTGTACACAATTTTCAGTTGGATTAGTATATCACTATCCTTAATAATATAACAATGTAGTTACCATATTAAAACTATATTTTATTAATACCATTAACATTAATAATTAAACACTATACAATCTCTTACCTCGTTATTTTTAATTTGCTTTGCAACAAGACAAAACTTTTTTAACTTACTTGTTAACAAAAAAAAAAATCACATTTTATATTGTAATTTGTTTAGTACAATATCATTCTTGTCTACAAATGTATGGTACTTTTATCAAATTTTTGACAAAATTAAATAGTATATTTTAAGAACAAAAAATTATATTTATTAGAAATCAAGTAATTAAACAAAATATCTTAGCAAAATAATTATATATTTAGATGTGATAATTTTACTTATACTAAAAAAAAAATATTTTTAAGCAACTTATAGAGTATAATAATGACACTGTTGGATGAAAGTATAAAACGTCTTAAAAATTATTGGGATGGAGATATAATATGGTATTTTTAATATTTGTTTTTTTTTAATTTTTATTTACTTTAACATTTTTATAAGTTAAACAAATAATAAAAATGAAAGAATTTTATCTGAGCAAAATTATAAGGCATAATTCTTAAAAGTCAAAAAAATGTATAATCAAACAATTTTCCAACATTTTTTAAAATATTAATAGTAATCAATTATGTTCAATTAATATATTCTTAGTTTCAAACTAGCTTTGTTTTGTAATTAATTTCAAGTACCCAATACTTTTCAATACTTGTTCATATCATTGTGGAATCTCTACCATATTGTCACAATTTAAAATTCTCATTCTTATGAAAATTGTAAGAGTAGTATCTCTCACCATCATATACATTTATACATTTAAGTTCATTTTTTCCTCATCAATTTATAAAGTATCTAGAAAGTATTTGTTACCACTTTTTCTTCCATCGAAAAGAACTGTGTTCTACAAATCCTAATTGATGTTTGTTGCATATGTATTATACATCACAATTCTTACTTTTATATTTTGTCACATTCTGCAATAATTTCCTGACGTGTAACAATTAAATCTGGTATATTTCTTAAAACTGTCTCCTTATTTTTTGAAGAATTCTGATCTTCCAAATCACTTACTCATAATTTTTAGATTCACGTAAAAAATTAAAAAAACCCCAAATTCTTTTCATTTTCAAATGCAGAATTTTTATTTTCTTATAAAAGCATTTTGTTATTGAATAAAAGCATAATAATATTTATGATTGCTCCTAATATTTAATAATATTATGCTTTTATATATATTATTCAATTTCTACTGTATATTATTACAAATGAAAGATCTATACATGCCACTACATATAAGGACAAATAAATACAATGATTTTTTACAATAGACTAACTTTGTTATGTTATAATTTTGTCATATCGAAACCTTAAGATTGTTTTACATCAATATTTTAACATCAATGGTATGTTTTGCTAAGAATAATCTTTTATACTCTTATAATTTTGCCCATTAATGTACATAATAAATAAAAAATGTACAGAAATTAATTTCAATAAAAGAAGGTAATAAATAAATTTAATTGGTTTAAATTAGACAATAATAAAACAAAGTTAGAAAGTATCAAGTAGACTACATAAATATTGAAATAATAATAAAAAATAAAGTAGTATTAAATTGTATTTTGATAATTATGGTAACAATGATTGGTAAATTAATCTTTTCTAATAATATAATAATACAAAAAAATAATTAAGTGTATTATGTAAGTATATATGTTATCATAAATAGAAAATTCTACAAATAAATACAGTATTTTTTAAATTCATATAAATAATAGTATTGTTAAAATATTTATGAAGGTATTTTGTATTTTGAATATTATATCTTAAAATATACCTAAGAAAACGTTTTTAATATTAAAATCTCTGGTAATGTAATTGTTTTATTTAATTATAATTATGTAGTATATGGACATAGTACAGATATGATGAAATAATAAAATAATAAATCTGATATCTGTTTAGTGTTAAAATATTATTTTCAAATACCAATTATTTTATCAATATATAATATTGAAGATATACACCATAATCACATTTCATCAAGTATGTAATAAAATAGATAAGGAAAGAAGAAATGTTAAAAATTTCATTAGTAATACATTTTTACAACCATAATTTCTTTTAAGAAAAGTAACTAAAAATATTTAAAGATTGTAAAATATAAGGTTTAGATTTTTTTTTATATAGCATACTGTATAAAACTTAGTAAGGGATACTATTTTGTTATAGAAATTGTATAATTTACATATAAATACAAATTTTGGCACAATATCTTGTAAATACAGGAAATCAATCATGAACATTCAATTTTGTATATTCATTACTTATTTGATAAATATCAGATTAATTACAGAATGCATATTTTATAGTTCATGACAGATACAGATCTTTATAAAAGGTTATATACTATAAAAAAACTATCTAAGTTTGTTAAAAAATAATTGCTATTATTATTTTATCTAAGTATGCTATAATGTTAAGCATTATTCAAAGGCTATTATAGTAGAACTCCATTTATCCAAATGAATTTTGTTACATTATTCTCATACCGAATTTGCGTATATAAATATATCCCTGCACACAAGCAGTAGAACATAAGATAGCATATACAAACATTAATGTTTGCATTCAGTCATTTACAGTCACAATCTGTTCAAAACTGTATAAATTCATGATAATTTCTTCTTATCATATAATAATAGAAATGAAAAATAATGTTTAGTGCTTACTGGAAAATTTAATGACTTAAATGATTAAAAAATGATGAAGCAACATTTTCTTTTGTGTGAATATATATAAAATTAGCAAATTAACAATATCTGTCATAAAATCTAATAAAGATACGACACTAACATATGAAGTGGATCTCATTAATTAAAAATAATGTTTTATTAGACATAACATATTTATATAATAGTTCTTCTAAGTATACATATTAATTGTTGTGAATTCAAATTTTCAATTAAATACAAAAATAACTGAAAGAAGACATTACTTTTCAAATTACTGAAAAATATAGCTAAAAGATATGTAGACATAGAATTTGATTGCTACATATTCGGAGTATTTTATTCAAATACTTCCAAATGTTGCATAGTTTTTCATTTTTCATAATTAAAAAATCACAACAGATAAATATTTCTAATGTTTCTATAATGTATGAAACAGAAGAATAGATAGATGAATATTAAGATATTCAAAATAAAGTATTTTATAAATTTCAATAAAAAAAATAACAAAATAACATAGTCTTTTTCATATTGGGTAATGCACTGACACATATTTCAAAAGATTTAGCTTCTTCCATAAACTAAATTATTATTGGATTTATCTCTCATAGTAATTTTTTTAATACTCAATAAATCAAATAAAAATTAAATTCTATAAAATATTTTATAAGAAAATTTTTTTTTAAATCGAGGCAACAAATCTGTTATTATTTATTCAGAGCTAACAAAATGTTACTATATTATATTTAAAACATGAAATTCTGTCATTGAAAACAAATTATCCAAAGCTTATAGTAAACTTGTATACTGAACAAACAGCATAATTTATTTATATCATGATAAAAACAATAAAAATTTCAAACAATAATGAGATTATCTAAAATTATCATATGTAAATTTATAGCAACTGTATAATCAAATAACAGTTACAGTACTATTTCAATGAATATTGTCAAAAGATGTAAGAATAAAATTTTAGTAGTTGTGAACATAGAGAGAACTCTAGTTTTTTGAAGTATAGTCAATAAATGAGGTACTGATGAAAACTATTATTTGAGTCTTACAATGATGATTAAATGATAATGAGAAACATAAACTGACTTCTATGATATATTAAGTAAGTGATAGCAAAATATTAGCACCCCTATTCTACAAATTTAATTTTATTAAAGTACATAAATATCTCAAACTATCAAAAGAATGTATATATGGATATATGAACAGTTATTTCAATGTAAACTGTTATTATTCAAAGAAGTAAAAAGTAATGGAAGAAAAAATTTGAAAGATTCTATTATTTGAACCATTTTACTCTTCAATATATTTGGATAAACATAGTTTTACTCTATATTACTTTACTTTATTATATATATTTTCAAGGTTATTATAAAATTATGCATAAGTTACTTTTCTTGTACAAATACATAAAAATCTATACTTCAAACGATAATTTTATAACTAAGCAATATTATATCGCCACCACCTCTTTTAGTAATATTTTGTCAAATATCCACTATCTTAGATATAATTTTTATATGTATAGTTCAGGTACTTAATATAGTTACTGCCTAAGAATTATATATTCGTCATATTACATATTTTTTATTTCTTTAAATTTTTAAATAATTTGGAAAACTCTAGTTTTGGTAGCTTTAATTAACTCTTATGTTTGTAAATTTATACTTAATACTTATTTTGTCAATTTTGTGTTAAAAATTCTAATTTGTAAAATTCTGATAATAAAAATAAACACTAAAAAATTTGTTTCTATAATTCTTCCATATGAGATTTCAATAGTTTTGGTAATGATGGGACATCTGATATTATAAAATTATCTGACGAACCAATTGCTGGGAAGACATGGTTTAATATAGCATAATAATGAAAACCAGCTGCTACAGCAACAAAAAGATGCCAAATTGCATGTGCACATGGTATTCTTCCATCAGATTTAAAAAATACCAAACCACAAATATAAAATAGTCCTCCCATTTTTAATTCAATAATGTTATAGTAATTATACTGTAAGTATTAATATATAAGTTTTCAAATGATGTGTGATCATTATTTATTAATGACATTAATTAATAATCTTTTGAAAATATAATTATATACTTACAACATTAATAATTGCAATACTAGGACCAACTCCTATAAGTAAATAAAAAATTGTTTCTAACATTTTATATCGTTCATGGAAGATTTGCTGATATAGTATACCCAATATTGCCATAATCCAAACAACATAACGCATCGTAAATAACAATTCATCGTCTGGGAAATGATCTACATTTAGCCAAGGAAAATAGCTAGCAGCAATAAAAATGTAAATCATCGCACGATCACAACGATGCAATGCATCTTTGAGCTGTCTGTAACATAATTTATTACAAAAATTTTATCTTTTATAAGATTTAACTTTTATTTCATAAATAAAATTATAAGCAGGTACTTAAAATAAATTAATAAAATGTATAATAGTGAGTACCTGTTATTATTACAATAATGTACACTGTGAAAAAATGTTGAAACTGTAAAAACAAGAATTAAAGATGTGCCATATACATAAGCTGATACTAATTGAGTCCATGTTATAGAGCGGTGAACTAGTTCCATGCTACCTATGATAGATGGTACAACCCAAATTCCATGAGTAGCCACATTTGCTATGTGTTCTACAGAAGTAGGTATATATGCTTCATTAGTACATGCTCGTGGATTCATCCATTTTATTCTGTAAGAATTAAATATATTCTTGTAGTATAGTTTGTCTAATTTTTATATTTATTTATTTATATAAATATAAAATTGTAAAATATGTATAGTAAAATTATATACAGGATATGTATGTACATTAAAAAGGAATATAAAATATATGATGTAATACAAAAATATTATTTCAGAAAAAAAAAGTTACTCTTCATACAGGATATTTTGAAATTAAGTAAAAAATTTCAAAAATTTCTGAAATTTCAAAGTTCGAACATTAAATGAATTAGTTACACAAAAAATGTTTTGGAAAACATTTAAAGATACTATAATATTATAACATGATAAATCCTTTGATTTGTTTGTAAAATGTTTAATACATATGCGTTATATCATACCTATTAGCTATATACCTATAATTATTGAATTATTCTAATATTTATTTATATAATTACCCATAATGAAACTACAATGCATAATATTAAAGGCTGCATTAAAGGGTTATGCTATCTATAGTGTCAAAAAATTGAATTTTCTTTCTTCAGAAAATAATAGTTAAAATTTTTTAAATGAATTCAAAGATGATTTTGAAAAAATTAAATTACACCATATTAGCTTTTAATTTGCAATTTACCTTAAATTTCTTCATCTTCTTGAACTATACAGTATTCATAAAGAAATGTATTTACTTAAGGATTAAATTGCTTTTTAAAGATTTTTTAGAAAGTTTCTTAAGATTCCCGAAACTTCTAAATTATATTATATTTAGCATAATTGAAGAAATTGTACAAGTCACATTGTCATATTAACTGTAATTTTTGCCAAAGTTATATAGTTTTTACAATGTCCAATAGTATTCAAATGTACGTCAGACAACGTAGAAATATAAAAAGAGTAAATATAAAATATAAAAGTAATTATCACAAGTGTAAGCATATTTAAAAGAAAACTATGAAATAATCTATTTGATATACATATATCATAATTATTCTACATACAATTATTGAATATTGCATTCTTTAATTATGTTTCATAATTTCAGCAATAATATAAAGGGTCAAACATATCACAAATATCAAACTTTTAAGGAATGAAGTTAACTCATGTTCATTGATAAACAACTATACTTATAAGATAAATAAAAGTATCATATTAGAAAGTGTACATATGTGTATAAAATCTTTATTATTAAGAATAATAGATGCTTCGAGATGCATTATTGATCTTCAAGTTGAGTTAATTTTCATAAAATAAATATTTTGTTGTTGGGTAAAAAACAATGCAAAACACAGAGCCTAGCATGCACAAAAAAATAAAATAAGATAAAATCAATTTAAGTCAAAATTGACCAATGAAAGATAGGATGAAGAAGAATGTAAAGATTACAGTAAAAAGAAATAAACATAAAATTTTAACTTGATTTCTTAAGACCATGTTTTATAAGATGATTTCAATGATAATTTAAAATCTATTTAAACAGTTTAAATTAAATTTGACAGTAATATTTTCAAATAATATTGCTTATTGCATGAAACACATATTCTTTTTTTAATTAATTTTTGAAAATTAAAAAATATTGATAAATATAATAAGAAACATTTTCTTTCTTTTAGACAACATACATATCTTCTAATGTTAATACTTTGAAAACTTCATATGTCAGACAATAGAAGATTCATTGAAGAACAATAAGCATAGTCAGTTTTACCAATTCAATGAAACTTAGTGATATGTAAGAACTATGTACATATGTGCATACCTACCACAATATGAACACAATAATACCATATCCTTTGTAACATACGTATGTGTGAGTACATAAATGCATAAAATTAAAATATATTGTATGCTTTATTTTAATAGAGTGAATAATTTTGTAACACAAATTCAAAAACTAATCTTAATTTTTATAAGATGTCATAACCCCTTAATTGTATACTGAAGGAATTTATTTATTTAATAAAAGTATTCTAACCACATTTTAATGTTGATTCAAATAAAAGAAAACATTTTCAAAGTACAAAAATTTCATTGCTATATAAAGACACACTTATTCATCGTCTCATGATAGTTGGCAGAATAATTATATCATTTGCTTTTATTTTTCAACAGTATCATGTTTCAGTAGTAAGCTGATCAGCTTAAGAAAACTGACCGAGATATCGTTATTTCGTCGTATTTCATTTTTGTTATACTATTTCGAGACACGTTAAATAATCGTAAATATTTGTATTTACATTCTTATCATTTTAAATATTTAATTTATTATTTAATGTTATTCATTTTAATATAACTCAAATATACAAACTAAAAAAATTGATATACTTAAAAATTATAAAAAAAATGTATAAATTCATAAAAAATTATTTTTTTGTAAATAGTGAAACAGTGTGTCTTTTTTTACTAATAACATTATACATTTGCAAAAATCAGGTAGTTAATTATAAGAAATTGATTAAATTATTCAATCGCTGCCAGCGATATCTAATGAACAAATTGTAAAAAAATTAATGAATGCATTTGTAATAATCACTAATCTACAAAATCTATTATATATTTTTATACACTGCACTATTCTGACCAATAACCAGTCAAAGGTGGATAAGCATAACCATCATAAATTATACATTAGTAAATATATATAAGTTACACAAAAAGTTGAAATTAATTTTTTTAATTACTATTTTTTACTTATATTATTTTTCAAGTGTTTAGTACATAGTTTAATGATGATTTGGAATATTATTTAGCCTTTATATTATTAAAAATACTTGAAAGAAATTTTAATAAAACCGAACTTGACCGAAATATTAATATTTGTACAACAATAAAATTTGTTTTTATTGAAACAGTTTGCAATGGAAATATAAACTTAAAAATCTACAACTGAATAAATTTAATTATTGTTTTCTATAACCTAAATACCATTTTATGTAGAAACATATGAAACATCTTTAAAATATTAATTATAAAACTAAATACATTTTATACAAATACAATGTAATAAATCAATATATGTTCCTAGTGTACCGTCTCTGAGTGCTCAACGAACGTCGATTGATATTAAGTGGTACAAATGGATATACGTTCATCGAACTCTAAGCAATATGATATATGTACATATGTACGTATAGTAATATGCACTACATATGTATAAAACCTTACAATTTTTAACTGTTTTTTATTACAAATCAAAAACAAAACTTTAATTATATAATTTTTATTATAATTTAAATTTCAATATTATTTTTAATTTCTATTATTGCGTAATTGTACTTATATTTACACGATATTATTTTATTCACATAGATTTGACAGAGGCATTAAAAGATTTGTGTTATTATACGCACCTTTTCGCTTATGACGAAAATAGGAAATAACAAAAACAAGCAAAATATTCACAAAATTATTTCAGATTATTTACGATCTACGATTATATAAGCTACAATTAATTATTTTACATTGTTTTTATATATTTGAAAATATACAGCTTAATCTGTTATTAATGAAATAAACAATTATTATTTTTTTAAAAAAAGAAAAAAATATTAAGTAAAATATCTAGATAAAATATTTGTATATAGTTCTTTATTTTCATGAAGAATGACTCAAAAAATTCATTACAGTATTTACCTCATTAAAAATTATTCCAATAATTTACACTGTTTTTATCCCAAAATTTTTAATGATATAATAAAAGCAATTTTGCAATAATGAAATAAAATATTAAAAAATTTTTATTTTCTTGTTTTTGATTTCAAATTGTAAATAATGTAATGATTTATTTTATAAATATGCCTGTATGTTTCTAAAAATTGACAAAGATAAGAATTAAGCATAGAATAGTGAAAATATTTTTAATAGTTTAAAGCATTAAGTAAAAAATTTCTTGTAAACAAAAATTAAAATTAAAATAAAAATCAAAAACATATATAAAAAATACTTGTTTATTGAATATATTAGTATTTCTTATAATTTTCTAGATTTTGTTTATATTACATACATTACTCTCAGGAAAAGGAAATTATAATCCATAATGCTTTTTCTTATCCTATTTGTCTTTATGTTATCTAAGTTAAATTTCTAATTCTTAACTTTGAAAAGCATTTTGCAAACATGAATATTAAAAAGGAAATAAAAAAAGCATGTAATATTTTTAATTATTTTTTACACCATTAAAATTTCCGTCTATTAGTTATATAATATTTTTTGTATATATTGTCTTTCGAAAAAATAAAGTTCGTACTCACATATCATTTTTATGCTTGATTATATCAAGCATTCTAAGCTGTAATTGAAAACAATTTTAGAAATTTAAATATTAAATAGGAATAAATTTATTTTATGTAATTGTTATTATTTTTACTTCTTTATATAATTGAATTGAAAATGCACATCCATCTACTACTCATGTTATGTACGATTATTTATTAAATATATTTTCTAAGCATTCATTTTTAACATTCACATTCCTCAAATTTTTTAAGCACAGTACATACAAGCTTTATGCATTAATTTCATATTTTTATTTATTTCAGGGATATATAAAATTACAAATTACTATAAAAAAATATGTAACATATGAATCTATTTTTGTGTAAATGTATGTGTTAATAAAACGATTATAAAATAATATATACCTTTCTTATGTACTCGGCCTTATATCTCACAAGTTTAAATCAAGTAAATAGTCGCATATTTTGAAAAATTTATGTATACTGTAATTGAATTTATTTAATTTTTGGTTCTTTATTTAAATAGACAAAATTGTAAAATTTTATAAAAGTCAGTATTCAAAGTGATAAGTAACAAAATAAAATATAGTCCATCTTAAATAACAAATTTTTAATTTCTCCTATAATTTAATCTCTATCATCTTATATACATTTTAATTCTTATTATGTTTAAAACATATAAAACTTTCAAATTTAATTTTTAAAACTATTTATAAAAATGTTTGATCACTTGTTAAATTTGCACTTAATATTTTTTTAGTCAAAATTTATTTAAATTATAACCTCAATCTTATTTGAAAGATAACTGCACTGACATATTATTAATATCGATCTAATCAATAAATGTCTTGTTATTTTATCTAAGAATAATATTTATTAGTCAGTTTCATGTATTTTACTGTAGTAGAATAAATATTTTTAAACAAAATAACTTTGACAGATACATACATATGTACTTATCTTGTAAGAACTATATATAGATACCCGGAAAATGTTTCTTCAAAGTTTTTTTTAAATATTTTCTGACAAAATAAATTTCATTAATTGTATGAAATTTAGTTATTTCTTCAATGTAAAAATCAAATTTAATCTTCTAAAAAATTAATTTGGTACTAATTATGAATGTAGTCTAAAGAGAAAAATATTATATGGGAAATTAAACTGTGGATATAATATAACAAAGAAAAAAGATGATAAAATGTCTATAATAAAAAAATAGAAACAAAATAAATATTCCAATAAACAAATTACAATTTTTATTTATAATTTACTACAATTATTAAAACACATAACATAAATCTTGAAAACATCGAAAATAAAACAATAAACATATTTCTTAATGTCCTTAATATGTTGTCTACTTTCTCTGTGTAACATTTATTTAACATTGGTCAATTTCTTTCACATATTTAAATTAAAAATAAGTAGGTATATATGAACAAATATATAATCATATATAATATTTAAAAACGTATTGAACATTAAAAGTTTGGTAAATATATGTATATATATAAATATAGGAATATATATACTATGTCCTTTTGATATTACAATATGAAATAATTTCAATGAAAAAATAATTACTACAAAATTACTAATTTTAAGTTTAAGATAATGTAACTTTTATGATATTTTTAGCTATTTATTGTATCGACATATATAATAGATAAAATAAGAACTTTTATAATGAAATTCAAAAGTGCTCAACAAAAGAATGAGACAATCAGTAAAAATTTATATTTAAAATTAATGAAGGTAATTGTGATAATAATATTATCGTATTCTAATATAACAGTCACCATATTAATAAGAACACAAATATGAAATGAATGTGAAAATTTGATACATGAATACAATATAAATAATTATTTTTAATGAAATGTCATTTAAAGGATATAATATCTTTAAAGGATATAATTTTTTATAAGATATTTATTTTAAATTTAAGAAATAAAGAAGGTAAATAATAAATCTGCTTTAAACACTAAACATATAATTTCATAATATGTATTATGCATATGTAAATGTTTTATTTGATATACATTATTTTGATATATGAGAAAATATAAATAAATCTTAAAAAGATAAAAATAATATAATTATTAATATTCTTTTTAGTATATTATGATATATTTATTTCAACAGCAGTTTTAGTAATAATTAATGATACTACAATTGAATACAATTTGTGCGATATTAAAATAAATAGATAATATAATAATAGCATATAATAAACATACAATTTCATAAATATAGAGATATGATAAATAAAATAAAAAATTTAATGCTATTTTAGAAATAGGAAATTCATATTAAATTTACATGTAAGTTAATACACAAATACATACAATACCTGCTTGCCAATCTACATTCGATGATAATACATAAGTTCCACATGTTCCAAAATATTATAAAGATTCAATAGTTGAGTATCCATATGACTTGGATGTTCCATAGGTAACATTACTTGATGAAATTACTTCTTTGTCCAGTTACAAGCAGAGTAGCAATGCATTTCATTTAAACAGGCCCAATTAAAATACCCAATACATGCAAAGTTTTAATTTTACTAGCAAACAGGATGTAGTTGAAAAACATAATGCAAGAAAATTTAATTTATTTGATGAGAATAAGAATAAAAATGCATGAAAATGACTGTTGTTTTTTTACTTTATTAAACAAAAACATTTTTCTATTATACAACAGTTATGCATATTCTTAAATTTCCTACGTAAAAGTGTTGAAACCAGTTACATTACATAAGAAAATAAACTTCTAAGGTTTCATATAGGTGTACAAGAGTAATGCAATATAGAATAACATGCTACATTAAAAACATATGATGTTATTTTTTAAAACACTTTACAAATAAAAATAAGAATTGAAGATTATAAATAAAAATATAGATAGGATACCATGCATTGATGAAATATTATTAATTAGTTTTCTAATAATGTTACACATTAGTTTAAACAGCCATTGTTTCACTAGTTGCAAAAGTTAAGCAAGTTAACAAAATATTAAATGTGGACAGGTTAACATTTGTTAATTAATATTAGTTATTATATCTTACTCTTTAATGCGTTGAAATTGTAAAAGATTTTTTATTGGTGCCGCAACAAATTGATGAAGACCAAATATATCCATATTTTTCGGAAATTCAGTAAATTTTAAGTATATAAAATCTCGGTATAATTAATCAATCTGATAATTAATGTAAAATATTAATTTAGACAATAACTATTTACGTTTTACCTCATGCTTCATACTTTTAAATTAAACACTGATATGAAATATTAAACACTGATAGAACTAATACTAAATGAACTACTCATTCATATTTAACACTATCGCTACCGTTGTCGCAGCACTACTGAACACTCTTTAACTATCATGAAGACTATAGAAGTACAAAGTATATATTATATAGATATAGTTATCAGGAAAAAATTAGGATAAATTTAATTATTTTCAATTAATTCTGTTTATCCACGTTTAGAGTTATTGGTAAAAAAGATATTTATATTTATTATTATTAACTTTATAAATTAGAAAAAAAATCTATAAATTTTTGAACTCATAAAATTGTTGGTATAAATACAAACTTAAATAAAAAATTTAAGAAAATTAATTTAAAAGGAATCTAGTTATGATATGCAATATTTTAATAGAATAACCTAAAATAGATAATATTTTAACTAAAAGAAACAAACATGTATATAAATTTACAATTATATTATTATTATATAAATTTAATTAATATAATTATTGATATATTAATATTGATATAAAAATTCTATAATTGATATTTTTTGAATTGTTGTTTAGCTTAACTTTTCTCTATTAGTATATTTTCTTTTTATCATTTCTATTTTGCATTGGAAAATCTATTTACTTTTACAATAATTATTACTTAATTGTTCAATAATAATTATCTTGTCTCAAAATATGTTTTACATGCTATATTGGAGGTCATAATTTAACAATGAGAGGAACATATCTAAGATATTAGTTTTGAATACATTTTTGAAATCTTTCTTAAACATACATTATAATTCTTTTTAAGTCTTTTAGTATAAATTTTTCTCCCATAATTATTCTTCTACCTTTTTTTTGGATTTAATTTTGCATTTGACTGATATCCAAATATAAATACACAATGCACATTAAAATATGATGAAACTCTTTTGATATATCTCTCTTAATTTTTTGAGAATAATTTTTTTGAATTAATAGCATTATTATAGATAATATAGTAATTGTAAAAGTATTTAAATATTTCCATTAAATCATTAAGAATTACTCAAAATTACACATAAATTTTGTAATATTGTTTGAAGTTGATTTCCAAAGAAAAATTTTGTTTATGATTTATAATTTCTGTTCCAAGACACTTTAAGAACTTTTTATAACATTATATTTTTTAGAATACTTTTATAATTGTATTTTAACTCCCTTATTTAAATTAATTTTATTGTTACTTTCTCCTATTTAAATTTTAGTAACATTTTCACATATTTATAATAGTATTACATAATATGTTTCTCTTTTTTTGTACAAAGCCATAAATTACAATTATTTTATTTATTACATAATTATATATTATTCAAAAATGTATATATATACATATATATATATATATATTGATTACACGTTTTTCCTTTATAATATTTACTAATTTAATATTAATATAATATTTACTAATAATTAAGACAATAAGAAATAATTTTAGTAATATATCAATTACAAAACATAATTCATAGTACAATATTAAAAGTATTGTAACATTATTTGATTTTTCATATTAGTTGTTATGACAATAGTGTTCGGAATAAAGTTTACTGTTTCAGTTTCATCATTCCGTGAATTCAGAGACTGTCAGCTGTTCGATATATGGAACGATGGTAGTATCAAGCAGTATACTGCAACATATAGTCACTTGTAGGAATCGTCGACATCGAATTCGACATCTGTTCACGAATCTCGTACAAGCGTGCGCGTGCGTGTATTTGTATTAGCGTACGTGCAAGAAAGAAGAGAAACAGATAAAGAGAGGCAATAAAAATAAAGAGAGAAAAGGATATAAAAAGAAATTAAGAAAGAAGTGGATAAAGTGTTCTTACGCGGACCGTCCGTGCGATTTATGCAAAATCTCGTGCATAACGTGGATGTATTGTCACAAGGATTAAAATACAGTATATCAGGACTAATGAACCTCGCAAATCAGACTACTGATCCTCAAAGTCGTGTTTTCTTTGTTAACTTCAATCAGGATTGCACGTAAGTGTCGCACTCTTGTATGTAAAGTGAGGACGTCGTCCTTTCTTGCCTAACCTTATTTTGACTTGATTATGAAGTGAAATATCTTTAATTTAAAAAGGAAGTTAAATGTATATATATATATACATATAAAAATGTATATATATATATATTATATGTTAATTTATCTTTGTTTCTCCAATTATATATGACAACATCTTTGTACTTTTTATACATTTACTAGTGCGTATATAGTTGCATTCCTTGTTTCCGTTTCTACGTTATTCATCTCCTTTTACTTATTAATTGCGTATTATTGATGTAGCCGTGATTCAAATTGATTATGTCGTATATTTGAAAAATGTTCATTGGCATTATACATTTTATCATATTCTTCTAGCTTTTTTACTGTTCTTTATTTATCATCAATGTTTCAACTTGCCTTAAAACATGAAATAAGGAATTATCATTTCTGTCTTAATTAATCTGTATTACTCATATTGTAGATCATCAATTAATGGAATTTGAAAATTCATAAGTGTTCTAAAATTCTGTATTTTGCTAACAATAATTTTGTATGAAATTTCTTTCAGATCTTTGGCAGTAGGATCAAAGGCAGGCTACAAATTTTTTTCTTTAAACTCTATTGATCATCTTGAAAAAATATATGAAAATGGTAACAAATTTTTATGCATTTATAAATATACATTAAAAAATTTGTTTATCAGTCATTATAACAATGACTTATATTTTTGAAAAGTCGTATAATTTAGATACTATATTTTTTAAAATATTTATTTAATTATCTTTAATATTTTTGACTATATCTTTCATATAGATCATTTTCTTAATGATATATAATTATGTAAACTATAGATACTGAGGACATATACATTGTTGAACGACTATTCAACAGCAGTCTTGTGGCGGTAGTTAGTTTAAGATCACCTCGTAAACTCAAAGTTTGTCACTTTAGGAAGGACTCTGAAATTTGCCATTATAGTTATTCCAATACTATCTTGGCTGTGAAACTCAATAGAGCAGTAAGTCTTTTACATTATAATAATAATTGTAAATAATAGTGTCATAATAGAAAATTGTTTATGTAATTTTAAACTAATTTTCTACTTTATTAGTAATAAGTCATTGCAAATGAAATAAACATTTTGTAGATAAAATTAGATCAAGATTTTTTCTAAAGTAAATAATTATTTATTTTGATAAGTAAGCTATGAAATAATAATACTTATTAAACTATTTTTATAAAGGACAGTTTTTATCTCCCAACATAATATGAAAAAGATCTGAATATGTTGCCTAATCTCAAAATATGTAATTTAGTAAGAAAACATATTTTTGGGAAAACTGATTTAAATGTGATTTTTTATAATGTATTTATAAATCATGAATATTTTGGTATAATAATAAGAAACACACTTCCAATATATTTGTACAATTGAGTTTTAAAATTTAAATGTTTCTTTGTATGTGCTGTGAGTTCTTTTATATATAAAAGGTATTTATACAGCAATAAATATCAAAAAAAGTTTGTTAGCCAATTTTTGTTAGATGAACAATACTTATATATTTATATAAATCTATATTATAAATTGCACATAAATAATACTCAAGGACTTAAATTTTTTATTAAAATATTAACAAAAGCTCAAGAAGCACTAAGGTCTAATTTATAGACTATAATTTATAATTACTGTTAAGTAAAAGATATAGTTTATGAAATTTATTAACTCAATTAGTATCAATGTCCTAAATTGCTCTAGAATATATCCCAAATTGAAGATAAAGTAACATTCATAATCTGAACATGAATTATAAAGCTAAGGGAACAATTAAAAAAAAAAAAGAAAAATTATTATAAACTCGCAAAAAAGCAAAAGATTATGTAAAAATTTTCAAGTTGTAAGTAGACCAGAGTTTATGATTCAAAAAAAGTTTTAACAAATTTGATAAAAGGAAATTTAGAACAAGTAATTCATGAATATACTAGTTGATAGATAATTTATAAAATTAAATAAATCCAAAGGTAGTTATTTTTAAATACTAGCAGTAATCTCATTAATATTAAAGTATAGTAGAAAAAATAAATTCTTTTTTTATGTTTATGTGTTACAATTTATATTTGTAGTGTATGAATAAACTATTATTTATATTTATTTATATTCAATTTTATATAAAGATTTCTATAAATATGTAATTATTGTCTATTTTACAAAAATTGAATTATTAATGGAATTACATAAATTCATTACTGTATGACTAATTTTTACACTCATTGTTAATAAATTAATAGTTTACTGTTTTTTAAAATTTGATTCTAATTTACAATAACTTTTATCACTTTTTGTGTATATAATATTTACTTTTTACTAAATTATATATGCTTATATGTATGTTTATTTATAGTAATAAAATTTACATAAAAGGATTTATAAAGAATCTAGTAAATGTTTTCACCATGCGTTTTAAATGAAAGATATATTACTATAATTAAATAGCTGTTTACAAGACAAGTATTATGCACAATTTATCTAATAATGAGTTAAATTAATAAAATATGTTTGTCATTTAATTTATTGTTATTTAGTTATTTAAATTATATAACTATATTGTATACATTTTGTTGTCATAAATGAATATACATATAAGTTATTAAAAGAGAAAAGATGTATATAAAACAGGAATTAACATAAAGTATTATTAATTGTGAACAAATTCCAAATAATATATAAAACAATTATTAAATCAGCACATTATTAACAATTTTGATAATTTAGATCTGTGTGCAATAAAAGTTTTAATTGTACAACAGAAGTTTTTGAAATTGCTTAAGGGAAGTGTGTTGCTATTTTCCTACAACAATGTCCAACAATATGTATTATTATTAGGAAAAGTTTTATAAAAATCCATCATTCTCTGTCCATCAATAGTAAATTAAAATTAGATTGTGTATAGAGTTGCAAATGTAAATAACTTTTTGATTAAACAAAGTATGTGTATTTTAGTTGATTTCTTATGTATTTCTCTTATTTGTCTATTGTACTGTAAAAGAATTAAATATAGATTTAAAATAAGGAAACTTATAAGCTACGGGAGAATAAATAGTTTTATTTGAAACTTCTATTTTTATTTGCAGCTTAGATAATTGTAGAAAAGACTTATTTTCAATATAATTACTAATTACTAATTACTTATTATTATTACTAAAAATTTCAAAATATCATGGATTCTTTTATTTGTAATTCATCATAAGAATTATTTATATTATGTAAATATCATAAAAACTATCCTTGACAGATATATTTCTTTATATCTGTTTGAAAGTAGAAGTTAGGAATGAATTTTCTTATTAATTATTGAAAATTATATTTTTCTTATTAAAATTTTTATTGGTTTCATTTTTTACATAATCTAATAAAATGATATTCTAGAAAGATATTCAAGAAGAATGAAATACTGTATTTACTCAGTATTACTATTAGAAATAGCTACTTTACTCTGGTATCTTTAATTGTATAAATACAAATTCAGTACTCGAATAAAACTATTTATCCTATAACATTATTACATACAGACTTTTTATTTATCTTATTGTAAACATCAATTTAAAAAGAAAGTCATCTTAATATAATGACATTAAAATTTTAATGTTTCAAAGTTTGTGTATAAAAATAGCATTGTGTAGACAAATATTAATAAAGTTTTATAGCCTATCTGTATTTATTTATAATTTTTTTATTTCTTTTTCTTTTTAAATTGAGAATGAGATGGCTATGCAAGTCTTGTTTGTCAGTTATAATATATTTTTTGCAAATTTTGAAATCATGATGAATGCATGTTTGTATAGTCTCAGCCTTCAAAGCATATACTAAAATAAATGCCAAAAGAATTGGATAAATCAGTTAAATTGTATTATGAGATTTAACAATTTTGCAATGATTTTAAGTAACAATTGGCTTTGAATATTGAATAACTAAATAATGTTAAAAATATTAATTTCATATACATTACAAGTGTATAAATTATATGTCAAATCTTTACATAAACAAGTTTCTACAAAAATTTAAATAAAATGATATATATTCCACTAATATAATTATATTAAACAGTATAACTTGTAAAGTGATATAAATTTACAGCGATTAGTGGTATGTCTAGAAGAGTCATTGTATATTCATAATATAAGAGATATGAAGGTGTTACATACAATTCGTGATACTCCACCTAATTTAGCAGGTCTGTGTACATTGTCAATAAATAGTGATAATAGCTATTTAGCTTATCCAGGCTCAAATACAATTGGTGAAGTTCAAATATTTGATGCAATTAATCTTGTAAGTATTATATAAAGTTTAACAAAATTTCTATATTAAGGATAATGCATGTAAGATTCTTTTTTATTTTTAGCAAGCTAAAACTATGATCCCTGCACATGACAGCCCATTGGCAGCACTTGCATTTAGTCCTAATGGTACCAAAGTAGCTACTGCTTCTGAAAAGGGTACTGTAATTAGAGTTTTTCATGTAAGTCTAATTATTCATATGGCATTAATTATTTGTTCAGTTCCTAAATTTAGATGCATTGCTGAAGGTTCTTTATATCTCTGAAGGTTCATGATGGTACAAAACTATTTGAGTTTCGTCGTGGAGTTAAACGATGCGTATCTATAAGCAGTCTTGCTTTTAGCATGGATTCTATGTTCCTTTGTTGTTCGAGTAATACAGAGACAGTGCATATTTTCAAGTTGGAAGAACCAAAGGAAGCGTATGTAATTTGTCATTATTGTATTCAATGAAACTATTATTGTAGGAAAATTTCGTTTTATTGCTGTAGTTTGCGACAAACGCCAGAAGAATCACAGACTTGGATGGGATATTTAACAAAAGCTGTATCTGCATCTGCTAATTATTTACCTTCACAAGTAACCGATGTTTTTAATCAGGGACGTGCGTTTGCTAGTGTCCATTTGCCATTTCAAGGGTTGAAAAATGTTTGTGCCATCACAGTGTAAGTTTAATTAAATTAATATTCGCTATACACACAAATATTATATATTTTCTCTAAAATCTATTTTTTTATGCAGTGTGCACGAAGTACTTAGGTTGTTGGTGGCTAGTGCTGAGGGTTATTTGTATGTTTATAATTTGGATTCAACAGAAGGTGGAGATTGTACATTACTTAAACAACATAGGTTTGTATTTTTAATAACAATATAAAATATAATATTCTTAACTTAATTGATAATTTTAGTATTTATTTACTATTTTGATTGTACCTTTGTATAGCATTCATGGCCAATCAACACGACATTTACAAGAGGAGGATGGGACAAGGTGTATATTTTAACAGTTTCCAAAATATTAATAAAACAATTTTCGGTACTATGCATGAAACTTTTTTTATTTAGACATTATTGATACAATCGTTTTCGCTGTAATAATTGTCTACTGTCGAATAATCAAGGATACAATAGTAATATCGGCTTTAGTATTTATAAGATGTCCCATAGAAAATCCGCTCTCTTCTTTTTAAGCTATATTAGGTTTTAATTATAATCATCAATTACATTTTATATAGATTAAGTTGGATTAGGTTAAATTAATACCCTCGCTACTATTAGACAATTGCCCACGCAAATTGAAATTCAAAAATTCCATTTATAGTACCGAAAGTGTTTTGTTAATATTTCAAGAATCAATTCCCGAAGTTAAAATTTGATATTTGAGATCTACACCTCCTCCCTTCTCCCACCACCAAATTTCTTGTCAATTGGCTATTGATGCTATTCGCAAAAATATTTAATATTTTTATACTCGTATAATGAGAAATGTAAAAATATCTAAAAAAGAAGTCTAATATTCTATTAAGTTTCTTTTAAATTAAATTACTTGTACACAAAAAATTTTATTATATTTTTAGTAGTTAAATAGTAACTGAATAATAATAAGATAATAATATGGATACATTTAAGTCAATGTCAGCAGATCAACCTAGTTTATTTGACTGCGTATTCGGATTTCATCGTAGTGTGATATTGTTATTATTATTTGTTTGTATTAAAAATATTAAATATATATTTTAAATTGTTGTAGTCAAGTATATTTAAGTAAAAGAAAAAATAGCTGTCATAATACATTATTATTTAATACATCTTATGAAACAAGAAAAATGCAATCGCGTCGCTTTTCCACTACACTAGAACGACCTTAATATCTAAGTGTATTTAAACGTTTAAATAACTGTCAAATTTTTCTAGTAGTCAAATTCTTCTTTCTATTTAATTATTCTTTAAAATTGTTAAATAGAAAATAATTATTTATGAATGAAAATGATTATTAAATTATCCTAAATTTTTTTCTTTTCTTGAAAGATTGTTCTAATAAAAAAAATTATTACGTAATATATCTATAACAAAAAGGATGTTATTTCATCTAATGTTATTAATATCTTCTGTTTACTCAATTTTAATAAAATATATATTTACATATTCAAAAAAAATAATTCTGTATGATTAAATGGAAATAGAATTTCTATGAATTGTTCTAAATTAGCTTAATTAAACTCGTATCATTTAATAAACTATTTTGTTCTAATTACAAATCATGAGATGCAATTCAATAATAATTTAAATTTATAGATTAGATGGTAAACGAGATGAAGTAGACTGTGCTAGTGTATCTACAGCGGGATCAGGATCTGGAGAACCCCCTTCAAGAACAACACCACAAATAATACAAAATGCAGGTATGACATAATATCATAAATATTTTAACATATTAAAAGCAATGTAAGCTTTATAATCGAGCGAGTTGACGATAAAGATATATCATTTATATAAAACTGACACATTAACATGCCTAGATTGATGTAAGATTTATTAAATTTAATATTTTATCTATATACTGATAAAATTCTTATTTTCAAATCAAGTAATGCTTAAAAATTTTTGTTTTAAAATATTTACAGATTAAGTTTGGCATTGCCTTCTCTGTTTTTAAGACATACCAACACATGCATACATATGTCATTAATGCTGTGCATGCAGCATTTATATGCACAAGTTAAAATTGTACATCATATTTTGTTAATGCATATGTGCATTTATTTGTACATAACGTAACTTTTATATATAATTATGTTGTAATTAATGATATAAATTTATTAAAGAAATTGTATATTTACAGGAGTAAGTGAATATTATATTTATTTTTTACAACATAAATTTCTGTATACTATAGCATTTTACATAATATAATGTAAAAATTAAAAAATAATTTCATTATATATAAATCAAATTTATTTTTTTTTATTTTTATTTTACAAATTAAATATCATATTTAATATAGCATATTAAATTATTATTAAATTATATTTTTATAAAAATGGATATAAATGAATACTATATAACACAATAGATGTTTCTTATTCTTAGAATCGTAAAAAAGTTATACTTTTCTAAAATTTAATTTATTATTCTGTTTTTATAAACATTAAAGTTTATAAACAACATAATGACTCACAACCAACAAAAAATTACGAAGAATTATTCATATTTTTATGTCTTATTGAACGGTACATACAAAATGTATATAAATTGTATAGAAATTAAATAAAGGATTGTAAATATTTCATTAAAAAAATTTTGATATTGAATAAATTAAAAATAAATGTGTTTATATACTACTCTTTAAATTAAATACAATAAAGAATATATTAACAATATCAAATCAATGTCAATGTTAAGATAAACATTGTTTAATATAATATAAAGTAGATAACTAAATGGAAAAACTATTACAGTTTTGGTTATTACATTATAATAAAATAACTTTTCAATTGCTTCAAGTTTTTCAATTTATCAAATAATGTAGGTTTATATACAGAAAGACTTAATTTTATAATTTGTTTTAAATAATGTATTTCTTAATTCTTAGGAATACTTTACATAATTCTTCTGGTTATAAAAAGAGTCTGCATATTTTTAAGTCGATGAACATTATTACTGTTGAATTTTATTATGTAAATTGAAGTTTGAGTAATTCATAAGATATATAAATTATATATTTGCTTTTGTTTAATAATAAATTAAATTCTATGTTAATTATCAAAAAAGGTTAGAAATGTTCATAAATGTTCACATACAATCCATTTAAAAATATACAATATATTTTAATTAAATCGATTGAAAATCGAATAAAATTTATAGAATTATACAATAATTTCAGAAAAAGAAGTCAACAGTAAATGAGTTAAGTATAAATAAATTGTCTACTTTTGCTTCTATTAATTTGATTTACATTAAAAACAAATGTTTCTAATAATATTTGTTTAATTAATCTTAATAAGGACGGTAATGCACAGTTAAATTCAACCAAAATTTGTTCGGTTAAATTTACATTGGTCATTCCCGCTTTTCTTCCAGTATTCAGTTTTAGTGTCTCGAGTTTTGTGAAATCTGATACTGTTGACACGAAGATAAAATAATAAATGCTGCTATTGAAAAAAGTAAACACGTAATAAAGAAAATTTTACTTTCCGTAATTTTCATCTTATCTTTCTGAAAATAATATCAATGAGTTGCTAAAATTCCTCTGATTAAAACAAATCCAAACAGCATATAAATTAGATTATTTGTTATATTATTACATACTTACCTTAAATTAATTATTATAATTAAGATTAGTCTAATTTATATCGTGTTTGAACTCATTTTGACCGGAATAGTTCTAACAAAGCATCATACTACTTTTATAAAAATAACATAAAAGTTAGAAAAAATAAAATTTGTTTAGTGGTAACGTCTCATTGAAATGTCGCTACTCCACATATATCTATCTCGCTTCCTTCTCTTGTTATATTTTTTCTCCTTTATTTGGCAACATTTGAGTTGATTTTTGGAAAAAAGGTACTCTACTCGGAAGAATTCACTTGCTGGTTCTCGAACTTGGTTGAACTTAATAAAGCATTATTGTATTATTTTCAAATATTATTTTATACATTATATTATAACAAAGTATTATTATATAGTTCTATTGCTTTGCATTTATAAAAATGTATTTTTATAATATTTCATTTGTAATGAAATTTTAAATATTGGTCAATGATGTAAATAACATGTTAAATTTATTTAAAATTAACACATTAAGTTCAAAAAAACATGATTACTGTATATAAACAGTTTCTTAATTATATGAAATTATTAGTATATTATTCAACGTAAAATAGTTTTTTCACCTTATATTATATATGAAAAAATGTTTGAAACATTAAAATGCAGTTTTAATAATTCTAATATTTTATTTAATATACATATAAAGTGCTTTTATTATTAACGATGTAAAAGTAAGCTGTTTTAGAAAAGAATTTCGGATGATTTGACTTATATATTTCTAAGATTTGAAAATTAATGACATTTCCCGTTCAATATTTATGTTACTACTATACTTAAAAAATTTGGGATAAGCAACATGTCCGACGTTCGAAATATATAAAATTTATGAATTTCTATAGAATAAATTATAAATACTTGTACTCATCATTAAATTTATTTTTGTTATAATGTTTGAAAATACAAAAACATTGCTTATTTAATGCAATAATGTAAAACTTAATACTATCTTTAATGCTTCCTATAAAAAAGACTTGAAATCATAATTGCAATATGAACTTTCCCAAATAAAACTATTTAGGTACGAAATATTTAATTTTTGTTTTGTTATTAGAATGTTAATTAGAATGTTTTTCACATATAAATTGCAGTAAATACCTTTTATTAAAATCATAAATATTTAATTATATTTTTCCTATTGTCGTCTATTTTATATTACAAAAAACAGTTTTCACAAGAAATTTTATTATTAATATAATTATGTTTTTTTTTACTGTATGTGATTTAGTTGGTTTTGGGACATTGTTTCAAGTAATTTGGATTATAACATATAATAATTATTGAAAAATGATTTAAAAATATATAATATAATTAACTGCAAATTTATAGGAACAATATGTTACAACTTTTTTTAAATAAGATATTGAATGATAAAATTAAATTATTTTTTTTTCTTTTTTTTTTCAATTTTTTTGAGATTTAAGTTTGAGTAGAATTAAATAAATACCACTTATCTAATCCCTTGTGCTGACACTATTTATCATTTTTATTATTCACTTTATATTTTCTTTTTCCTTGCTTCTAACCCCTCTCAATTAAATAAGCAACTTCTTTAGGGGCTAAAAGGGGGGCCCCAACAATTGACCTTACTTGATGTAATTTTTTTCTTTTTATTATCCACTGAAGCCTGCATAAATACCTACGCGGGTGCGTTGCGCGGTCGCTCGCCAGACTCCATGTCAGGTACTGGTATATTCTCTATTCTGTCCCTTGCTTTTTTCACTCTCATTCTCCATATACATCCTATTTAAAAATTCTACTACTATAAGAAAAAGAATGAGAGTAACATTGAATAATAATTTTTACATGGTTTGGGTACTAAATATGTATTGTCCATTTACTAAAATTTACGAATTTATCATAGTTTAAATATACTTACAACATTATACACCAAAATTAGGGAATTATTAAAGCGTAATTATTACTAAAAATAACATGCATTTGTGCATGTGGAATACTAAATATTATTTTCCTTTAAAACAAATAAAAATGAATATTTGCACATCCATATTTTATATTCATTGCCATAACTCAGTTTAGTAAAGAATTTTTCTTAATTATTAAAATACTTCAAATCATAAAATAATAGAGATAAGATGTTTGAAAATTAGAAGTTAACAACTAAGAGTGAAATAAATTAACAGACTTTGTTTTATGATGTAAAGTAAAGATAAAGATATTTTAAAAGTGTAAATATGTATGATTCTCAAAACGTATAAACTATGTTTAAATAAACTAAATATATATGTAAGCTAAATTTTATTGTGTAATTTACATTTATATATTTAATAATTCACAATGGTATAAAATATTGCAAATAAAATGGTTTAATAATTAAATTACTTATTATACATTAAACAACATATCAAAAAATTATACAAATAGGAAAAATTATTATTTTAGAAAATGAATAAATTCAGTTGATTTACTGTAAAAGATACTTTTGTAAATTAATATTAATTTAAGTTAATGTTAATGAGTCTTTTAATTATTAATTTAAATTAATAAATATCCCATTTATATTATAAAAGGATGATAGAAAATAATAATACTGGTTTTCCATTATATTTAGTTCTATATTAATAAGTATGAAAAAGTTTTAAGTGCAATTTGATATGAAAAAATACGTTATATATCATTGAATTTCAATTTCATACATCTTTATCGTTACATCCGCTTAAAATGATTATTAATTTAAATAATTATGACTGAAATACATAAATGGATTTATAGAGTCAGAGAAGTATCACGAGATGATAGCAGCAACTGAGAGTCCACCAAGCTTTTCAGGTTTCTTCCGTTTGAAAGATGATGCTGAATTTCCACCTGTTACGCAAAGGACGGATTAAGTGTAATAATTCAAGCATATCAAAAATTATGAATGAAGATGAATTATATATAACAGTGATCGAAATTAGGACACTGAGTACAGGTCAAACTATAAATCTATAATCATAGCTAATGTTGCAAATTTAGGAAAGCAACAAATTCTTTTTTAATGAAAAAAAACAGTGATGAATTTGTATAAGTTACATTAATACTAAACCTATCATATACCTAGATATTCATATCATATCGAAAGTTAATAACTTGAAAGAATTATTATAATACTTTTGGTTACAATTTTTCAAGCCAGTATTTTATATTAGAACCTTATCATTATCAGAGAGCATGCAGTTGATTTTAGAAAGTCTAGTAATTTAACAATGGTTACAGTTACTTAATACCTAGAAAAAAAAGAAAAAAAAAAAAAAAA